TTTTTGAAATTTTAGTCAATTTGACCCTTTTTGGCCCCGCCCCTCAGGCCCCTGGGGGCTTAGGACTAAACCGGCAACTATTTTTGTTGACCTTTGTCCATGGAAGGTCCCTGCAAAATTTCATTGAAATTGGTTCAGGGGTTTTGGAGAAGAAGTCGAAAAATGTAAATTGTTTACGGACGGACGACGGACAAAAGGCGATCGCAATAGGTCACTTGAGACTTTGTCTCAGGTGACCTAAAAACTAATACATGCCTTATTTGTAATTTCAGATCCAAAGATCACATACTGAAATTAATAGTTAATGTCCAGAGGTTGTCCTTCCTTTCTCATTTCTTACCTCATTTCCATTTCAGCATATTTAAGCCACACAGTAACAGTTCTGTGATCCACGTCCAATGCTCTCTCCCAAACGGAACGAGCCCTGAAAAAAACACCCATAAAAACTAAGTTTAAGAACAGATAAAAATATAAACAGGTTATTATAAAGTTCTTACAAGTACTTTAAGATTGGTAAGTATCACCAACAGTAGACAGCTGTAAAATCACAAAATTTTAGTAATAACTGATACTGTTATCGAACTAAGGACCTCCTCTGACAATAATCTTCAGATTGCTGAAGTTGGTCAGTAATGGGTATCCTATATAGAAGAAAACACAAAAAAGCCCAAACAACGTGAATAGGTCACAGAATCCCATTATGCAATCGAGCTATTCAATTAACAACGTCTGTCAAGAAAACGTGGTCTTCAATGTTCAATCTTCCCCGCTATAGCTTTAATACATATACAATGTAGGAGACAATACCATGGACAATTGGACTATTCTGTGATACTAGATGCGATACATTCCAGGAACACCCTTTGTCAGTGCATGCTGGCGAGATAACCGAGTCAGTCAACAGTGTTAATGCGACAGTGCCGATACATTTTGACCAGTTTACATCAACAGAATTTTTATAACAGACGTTTATCTAAGATTTCAGATAACTCATTTGTTCACATCATGAAGACCATCCCTCGAGTAGGCTGTCTATAATACTAGCATATATGTAACCGCTACTTTCTTGTTGATTTTAACCCTTTCAAAGTTTCACCACTGTGGACCATAATGGACTCATCCATATAAATGTATGGTAGAGTCTACTAAAGTTGCCTAGGGATGAAAGGGTTAAACAAAATTTATAAATTGTGTATGCAATGTTTTTATTAGATCCTATATAATATTAAATATGTTTACATTTTTATCTATTCAGGCAATAAACATGACAATTTGTTACTTTGTTATAAAGGTTAGTTGTACTTTCAACTGTTACCTTGGTCAAGGTCAGGAACTAACACATATATAAAACTATCAAAAAATAATGTGTTGATCGTGAAAGGACAAACCATTCAACCACATAAGGAACTAGAACACTGACAGGTCAGTAAGGGCCCTGTCTTGTGGCAATATATCCGCCATAATCATCAAGAAGCAATCTGCCCATATAGCAAAATATTCATTTAACATATACTATGATGTGAGTCTTGTTTCCTTCCACCTCCATATTTGCTAGGCTAACAGAAATGTAAATACTTGTGCAATACTCATTTGTTAGCTTTGACATGTTTTATTTCACTTTAAATACCTCCTCCATCAAGAGCCAGGGTCAAAGTCAGAGATCCACTTTGTCTTTGACCTTAGGACCCAAATGACATTGACCATTGACCCAGTGACCCTGATCTTTGGTCAGTTGACTTATTATTTAATTCTAACCAACATTGCTTCATAGTGTCATAACAAAATGTTCATCAGTGAAAAAATGCAAAAATAGACCTTGACCTTTGAACCTAATGACTTTGACCTCGACTTTTTACCTGAGGATGTCTCTTTATCTCATTTCGACCAACTTTGCTTCATAATGTCATAAAATGCTCATTAGTGAAAAGCTACTAAACTTGACCTTGACCTTTGGTCAGTTGACTCCTTGTTTAATTCTGATCAACTTTGCTTCATCATGTCATAACAAAATGCTCATCAGTGAAAAGATGCAAAATTTGACCTGGACCTCTGAACCTTATGACCTTGACCTTTGACTTTTTACCTGAGTGTGTATTTTTGTGAACTGAACATCTTGACCAAGTTTCATGTAAATCGGTCAATTAATACCAAAGTTATTAGCCAGGAACAAAATTTGTGGACGGACAGACAGACAGAGTGATTACTATAAGGCACCCGTATCTCCGATACAGGGCCCTTATAACCTACTAAACATATTCAAGTCTAGTTCCTGCGTTTTGGTTGCTAGGCATGTTTAAATACCTTTGTATTTCTTTCTGAGCCTCCTCCCACTGTGCATATTTGATCCAGTTGACCATCACTGACCGGTTCTTCCTGATGTTATCTTCAAACATCTAGAATATTATGTGAGAAAAGAACATTTGAAATAAGCTATATAAAATTAAGATTTTCCATGTAAATGTTCTGACAAAACAGGGTAGAAACTGAAAAGTCTTAAAATAGTATACATGCAACTCTTTGATGATGTGAATATTAATCCTATTTCAATTTTAAAATTTCAAACTTCTTTACTTACTAAAATGAACATGTTTCACCCCTTTCAGTGTTTTGAATCCCTATTTACAGGGAATCATTGATGATTTTCCCCCCCAATTCAATTCAAAAGTATTTTATTGACAATAAATATATAATACAAACATATAAGTTGTATATATTAAGGAAGATGTGAGTACAGTATTGACAAAAGAATCAGGCTATATGCCTATATCAGTCTTCTTCTATTGCTGAAAGGTTAAAATTACAAACTTCATTACATTTTTTCTTTCAATGTAGAAGAAATGAGTGATTTACCTTCCTTTTCCGCATTTTATATGCTTGTAATTCATCTGGATCCGAAATCTTCTGTTTCGGAGGCTGTACAAAGATTCAGATACTTATTAATTACATAAATACATTTACATTTTGTGTTTTCATGCATGAAAATAAATCAAATTTTAGGAAATAATTTATCATAATATTTTTTTTAATTAGGCTTAAAATAATGCAAAACATTGTTTGCCTAAATCTGACCGACATGAAACAAAAAAACCCACCTAAAATATTTCAAACTTTAAATTTTATTTTGCTGTTTTTTCTCTCTCTAGGATATTGAGTCGGTCAGTCATTTATAACTAATGTTGGTTTAGCATCTGATTTAATCAAAAAGTTTGAAATGTGTACATCTGTCAGTGTACATAACAAAAAGCAAAGCATGCAACAAAAAAATGGTTTGTTTTAAAGGACTTATTATTTATTTATTTTTTTATATTATGGATTTATGTTACATTACACAGATTTGAGTGAAATCACAAACATTAGAACTTTTTAAAAATATGAAATAGAATTAATTAGTTAAAAAGTCTTTTTATTATTAAATCTGCAAACAATCAACGGAAGGGAAGCATGTTGATTCCTGACGTGGTAAGAGGGGTTTGTAGATAACATTATGTCTTACCGGTGGGACAAGTTCAAGTTCTCTTTCTTTGGCCTCTCTCAGCAATTGTTCAGCTGTAATCTGTACTGGTGCTGGCATTTTATTCTTAACCTAAAAAGGATTTCAATATTAAACATGTCAATGAGTTTACTGACGGAGTAATTATAACTCCAAAGAGTTCAGAACGAACCATCCAGACAACGGCAAACAAGAAAGCCTGGTTGAACAAATGAAAATAACAATAACATCTGTATGTTTGATTTGTTTTGCCATCAATTATATGTGAACCATGTCGAGTAATTTTTATTTTTTGCAATGTTTGGTGCATTTAATTGCCTATTAAAACCAGGAAAACTGATGGTAAGTCACATTTATAGAGATTTCAAAAGGCTGTCATACAACACCAACTTGCACATAATATAATGTAAACTAAAGAAAATAAATAGAAAGAAACAGTGTTTATGACACGATATTATTAGCAACAGAACATATTAGAAAATAACTTTTTCATGGCAAAAGGGAGATAACTACAGCATAGCACAGAACAAAATCGTCAACACAACGTTTTTACTATGCTTGCTGCATGCAAATAAAGTAAACACAGCAAATTCTTGTTTCTTAAAACAACTTATGTTTTTATTTCTCTACAATGACAATGTGTTATTCACAAGGCCGGTTGCCATATCATGATTATTCACAATCACTTCTCAATTCACAATTGACTCTGAAAATTATGATTTTATCGTTCATTTGATGACCGGTCGTACACATACATATATCCACAGAATATATACCTTAGCCACTTTTGGCATTTTCCTTTTTCCGTCGTCGTCAGTCTCCATTGTTGATTTGTTCACTGCTACTAGTGTTCAAAAACAAAGTAAAGGTGCTCTTTTTCCCACCTAACAAATAACAACCGGAACTAGTTTTCACGGAAGTTGATACGGTGTTACGAAAAACGATAGTTACTATATATACAACTAAACTTCATTAATATTTACTTAGATCAATTAAATAAGCCATATTATTAGGCCACAAAAAAATCATACCTATTTATGTTTTAAGGTCAAATTTTATTTTAATATAAACGGAAGTTGTATTGTTGCTATGCAACTTGACTCACTAATGGCGGCAAAGTTGTAGTTTATCGCCGAGTGAGGAAATGTAAGTTGTTTTTCAGAATAATTAAGCTGATATAAGGACCCTAGATATATTTTATTTTACTTTTTTCAATATCCTACTTGAATGATATCCCTCATTTTGTTGAAACGAATTGTCAGATGTGTTTGATTCGTTTATGAAGGTAAAATTTGTAAACATCGACCCATAATATTTCGATACTTTTTTTTTAAACTCTCAAATATGTCATGTATTTCATTTAAAACATTTATTATCCACTGGTTATCATATACAATGACAGAGAAATCGTATATCGCTTCACAACAACTAACAAGCACCTGTCAGCTCCCCTCCCCCAGCATCAGAAAAGATTTACGTTTTTGAATCATGATTTTGTTTAAAAATAACGATTGTAGTATACTAATATTTGACTCTATTCATCTGTTATTGTTGAGTAAATCTTAGGTGTCGAAATTGAAAAGATAATAAATCACTTCTGCCTATTTGTCATTACGAACACCTGTAGAATAAACTTTTATGTTTTTGTTTTGTAGAGAAAAGTTCGGGATGGCTACAACAATTCTACCTATGGATGGTCCACCAGAGGTGGTGAATGCTCGTCGAACAGAATCACTTGATGCGCCACATATTATCAAACTTGTCAAGGAAAATACAGATGCACTCTTTGGTAGAGTCAATATTGTCAACTTGATGTAAGTCACAAATCAATTTATACATACCTTGGTAGAGGAATGACCAATCAAAGTTTTACTTGGACTTTGAATATAATTTTGTGATTTGTATATAGGCCTATAGTACATTTTAGAGTTAAACTTCTCTGCAATAAAATGTTGCACTTAAAAAATGACTTTAAATTGTAGGGATAATTACTAAAATTTTCAGAGATTGCAACAATAAGGTTTGTTCTGATATGAAACCTCAATATAATACCCCTCATTTTATTTGCCGCCTTGTTTACTGCCAACATATTTCAATTTCCCTTTTTCTTGTTTTCTTAATAATCCCTTTAAACATTTCCCTCCATCTATTGCAAAACCCTTCTATAACGCCAAGATTTCTCTGGACAAATGGTGGCATTATAATGAATTTCTACTGTATGACAATTTGAATGTTCATATATGTCTATATTTCATTTCATTAAAGTCCATTTTAATGAAATTCTTAACATTTTGAACTTGAAGAAACTGAATATGTAAAATGTACATATTTCAGTGAGAAAGCTGTTCTGGCCGTCACACTATGTAACGATAAAGAAGACATACTTGGCCATGCTGCATTCTTTGATTACCCGAACATTCCGGAGGTTGACCAAGCTAGCTGGGAGTCTTGGATAAAGAACAGTTACGGCAACGAGAAGAGTACAGCCCTGAACACATTGTTTATGCATTACTTTGTGGGCAAATCTGACTACGCCCACGGATGCTGCAGAGAAATCATCAGGACTGCATTTAATGCTGTGCCAGATCTCCACTTTCTCTACCTGTTTGTGCCTATGAAGGCTTACCCAGGTTTGTATACATGAACAATGGTAGACAATTTTATTGTTTCTATTTAAATATTTAAAAAAGACACTTTGTAGTTAAAGAAAAATCTGATTTATTCAAAACAGTTTATTGTAAACTGAATAAATAAGGTTTAAAATGTTAAAAGAATTACTGTACACTGGAATGTTTTTGCTGCAGTTTAGCTTTCCCCTTTTTTGCCCTCCATAATGAGGGTGAATTTATTTCGATGGTGAAAATAAGCATACAACATACAATGCATAGTAAAATTTTGTAAAGGGCGAAAATAACATTGTGTGAAAATGGATAATACCAGTGAAGAGCGAAATTTGACTAGACCAAAGTTTCTCGGTATACAGTAAATAGCATATATGTCTAGCCTAAAACCCCTGCAATGTTTACAATATATACAAAAAAAAGATATCTTTGGAATTATTGTTGTTTTAAACATGTGATATTAGATTTGTTGAAATTTCACCTTGATGAGCTGCAGTAGTGGAACAATATGTAATGCTCACAAATTTGACCCAAAATTAGAAATAAAAATTTACACAGAGTACAATTTTGCAATCTAGACATGTAAAGGAACTAAATTTTCACAGTATTTTAGCACAGAGACTTGACACTCCGCATATAAAGTATCAGATATTCAAATGAATACCAGGTAGGCTTTGTATTTTGTTAAACATCTATTTTCAAACATCTTGTATTACTCTTGATTTATATGAATCGTTACAACCACATGCTCGCTATCCATGATGACATTACAGTTATGAAGTTAATTATCGCAGCTTTGTTTTCATAGTTTCACGATCAAATTATGGACCTGCGAAATCACGAAAATATCATCCCCGCAGAAATATCCTGCTATACTGTAGTTTGTTTCTGTGTATCAGTATATTGTTATGGCCCAATTAATAAGTAAAAAAAAACTGAAACAAATTTTTATTTTTTTTCCAGAATCTGCTTTGGATGAAGTTTTCAAGCAGGTAGATAAGACAGAGGGAGTTAGCGATGGAGTAAGCGGTGCCCTGTTTGTGTGTCACAGACACGACCATGTGCCTGTCCTCCACGTCAGGAAGGCCACGTGTGTGCTTTATCTTTACCTTATCTAAAAAAAGAGTTCCAACAAAAATCAGTAAAATGATTTCATTTTTTAAAAATCTTTAAAGCTTATTTTTTCTAATTTGATACGATGATCAGTTCCAACACATACTTTGATAGAATCGTATTCCTTGGTTTCAAAGTGAGATAAGAAATTGCCCAAATACACCTCCTGTTTTGGGGCCCCTTTGTCCCTGCTTGTGTTAATAAATGATAAATGGTACTGCCTCAAAATCTGCCTGAAACATAAACAGGCAGTGCAGACAGCATGTACATTCAATGAATGAAATATGTTCCTTTAAATACCAGGCATACAATTTTGTCTTTTGTCTAAATAGATTCAATTCAGTCACCTAACTGTATAAGACTACAATAAATGTAAGTGGAAGCTTACAAAAGAAATGATTGTCCTGAGATGAAATAAGAGTGACTGTCTGACTGATTTTAGATGATTTGAAAATACAATTTGGTATACCTATGATCATAGATCATGGACATATCACCCAACCACATAACGTATATATTACAAACATTTCTGATTTATGAAAAAATTCATGATGTAAATCAGATATTTGTTAACTGTTAAATCTGACATATGTTTAAGTCTGCGGTGTCTTGTCTGATCTTTCAGCGTTGAGGACCATGATGACCTCACCCCGATTTTCACTCGCCAAAGTGACATGTTGAACATGACCTACGGAGACTTTTTCCTGGCAGAGCTCGTGGAGGCGCAGGACGAACACATGCAGTGCTTGGTAGCTGAGGTGAGCATGTGGTAGACAGTAAAATTGACATGGGCGAAGATTACTGCCTAGCTACATGGGCAAGGATTACTGCCTAGCTACATGGGCGAGGATTACTGCCTAGCTACATGGGCGAGGATTGCTGCCTAGCTACATGAGCGAGGATTACCGCCTAGCTACATGGGCGAGAATTACCGCCTGATGCAGCCAAAGAGTTAAACATAAGAATAACACTTACAATATTAACACTGTACAGTGATCAGATTATTTTATAACAAAATGGTAATTCGTAGATTATTTTATTATCTCAAACAGGTGAGATGATGTTGAGGTTCCCTGTTCCACTGCCCCCTGTCGTTTTTCCTATTTACAGTTACCTCCCCTTAACTTCCGTTTGGTTATAACTGTAGCACAGTTGGGGTAGGACACTTCCGTCGTCCAGGTACCTCAATCAGACAGAGCAATCTAAATCAATCTGAAGTTTCGGGTTCAAACCCCTGTCCAGCCCCACTGATTCTTTTACACTCAGAACACAGTGTCTGATTGCGTTTTGTTTTGTTTATTTCATCTTTATTATTTCTCGTAAAAGTTCTGCAATGTATAGTTTTCTTTTCAGGAATGATTTATCAAAGCTATAGTCATGCTGGATAAAAAAGTTTCCAACACTTAGATTCATTTTTTGGCAGTGGTATTGGGATCCTTAAATAAATTATAACAGACCAGCAGTTACATTGTATTTTAATCACCTGGTGATATAATAGACTTAAACATTGATTTTGGTATTTTAAGGTGGAAGGCACAGCTATTGGATTTATGAGTATCAGCGATGATGTAAATGCTCCCTTGTTGAATGAATGTTTTGAGCTTGGGCCATTCCACGGTCTCCGAAAACCACACGCAGAGGACAACTTGGCAGCACCGAAAACTCCAACACCTTCACCCCCTCCAGGTATTAAAATATATCACCTGAAGAAAAAAGTTATTTTAGACCTTTCAAGATTGATAAATTAAAACTTTAAATCAAGAATATCTGCCATTGTTCTGTAACAGCTAAACGCAGTCATGTGATTCTTGTTGTGACACAATTTTTTACTAGGTCAGTGGGAAGCTCATCACCCTTCCTACTTATTTACAGTCAAATCTGCTCAAATGACCATCTGTCTAACGTGACAAGTGTGACCACACATTACTGAACCCAAAGATTATGCTAAAAGACCACATTTGATGAAATTAAGCGACTTTTTTTTCCAAAATTTATCAAACAATTGTTTTTGACATGATATGTGTGACTGAATTTGCAACCGTCACCAAAGTTGAAGAAGGTCTCCTTAACGATAATTTCACCAAAGTCGGTGATAAAAGATAAAACATGTACATGATGTCAGCGTGCTATATTGAAGCAGTCATTCAAATTACTACAATTGCTTAAGTTCTGCTCTGTTAATATCCTTTCATTTTCAATACATGCACAAGAAAAGTAATTAAGTTTAATTTGCTGACTAAATTCTAAGAATGTGAATCCCAGAATACATAATAAAAAAAAACGCAAAAAAAAATATCTATAAATTCAGACGAAACTTCATTTCTTCTGGAAATTATTTTAAAATTAGGCACAATTTAAAATATCTCAACAGTTGCAAAAAAATCAATTTTCTTGGTTAAACACTTTTGTTTTGTTTTCCCATTTTATTCATATATGGCACCTATAGCAAGCAAGGTTTTAGATTTTATTTAAAATTTCAGAAGAAGAGCGACCATCTTCCAGAGGATCACAAAAGTCCGGAGGATCAGGAAAGGCGGAAGGAGAACCAACTTCTGGTACTGAGGGCACGAAGAATGAGGGTACGGAGGTGTCTGCCTCAGAGAAAGTTGAGGACAAGAAAACCAGCAGTCAGCACTCAAGTGGGAGGAGCTCAAGGGGTAAGATCCTGTGTAGGAGCTCAAGGGGTAAGATCCTGTGTAGGAGCACAAGGAGTAAGATCCTGTGGTCTCTTATATATCAAATGTGAATCAATTGTTAAAATTAGAAACATCAGAAATACTCTGGTTAGTTATAAGAACGACCTGTCAAATGATTAATTCTATGAAAATGTTTTCTTCTTTCAAATGCAGCTGGAAGTACAAGTGCAGAAGACGTCAATAAAATCCAGTCCAAACTCAGCGATGCTCACATGCGTGAGAGTGCGACGTCCCTACTGAGCGACAGTGCTGTGGTGGTTGCAGAGGTCGCCAAGGAGGCAGAGGACCGCAACTCACAGGCGTCAAGTCGCAAGAGCTCTGTAAGAGATGAGGTAAGCCAAATATCTTTATAGAATGCTTATCCACGCTCTTGAAATACAAATGTTGTGTTGTAGACAGATGTCATCAGTTTCATGATATTTTGTGGCTGATTAGAAACGGAACACTAATTTTTGAAAGATTTTTATCAGGGCTACATTCGCGTTACCGGTTGAAACGGTACGTGTGGCGCAGAAATTTTCCACGATAAACGAACACACTTGGACCGTTCTATAAGCAGAGCTAAAAATCCACAGTTTCGGAGAATAAAAAACAATGTATCAAGAATATTATGCCCTTCTCTCACGCGTCCACTAAATTACATAACGTATCTTAAAAACTACATGTGGCTTGACATTGTTTTAGAAAGAAATAACGCAAACTAGCAATATTCAGCAGTTTAGTTTCGGCCAGGTACGTCTGGACCCCTCAATCTACACGTACCAAATTTTCCTGAGGTCAGCCTCGGTCCAAATCTGTACCTGTCGTTTTCTTTACAGGTTCAACCGGTTCAACCGTTTCAACCGGTAACGCGAATGTACCCCATTTAAATTAGCAAAATGAAACTTATAATGTTTGCTTCATACACCGAGGCCATATATCATCACTGTTATTTTTCTGTATTGAATTGACAACACCTTAAGATATCTCTGTCTCAGAAAATAACTTGAAACATGGTTTTGTGTTTTAGATGTCTTCGAGACTTGCTACCCCAATCAAGCCAATTACTCCTTTGTCAAGTCTGCCGAAACGCTTCGTGCCGTCATACAAAGGGGAGGTCAACGCATTCAGCATTCAGCTTTTCTGCATTGATGAAAGATTTGAAATGAGGTAGATTAAATATTTTCTTCCTCAACTATTGAAATATTAAATATGTATCAGTTACTCGTGTTGGGTTTGAAGTGCATCTTTTCAGCAAATTTGGAATTATTTTCCCTTCGATCTTGGAAACTTATCCATTCAAAATATTAAAACAGATATCAAAAATTGGTTGTTTTTCTGCAGTTAAATTTGAACTTTTGATTCAGATGAAGGTTTTACTTTACACTCTGTCTAAATTGATTCAATTTTTTTTTTATTATTGAATTATATAAACTATATTTATGACTGTTTCTGGCAATTTTTTAAAAGAAAATCAGTTATGATGTATCTATGATGTACAGCAACGATGGAGAGTTTGAATTTATTTTTCGTTGTCCAGGTCGTCCGATTTCCTGACCAAGGCTTTCTCCCTGTTCCCACAGTTTGACTTTAGTGTGATTACTGTGCCCCACCTTGTCCCGGAGTTTCCGCTCCTCCAAGGGTTTGTGGTAAGTTCCAGAGCTCTGGTGAATGTTGATGCTGGAGAATACTGAATAGTTACTGGCTTGAATATCAGATATATTTCACTAGTACAGCATACTGACCTGACGGGAGAGGGGGCTAAATCTACACTCTACCAGTAACCTTTTTTTGACACAGTGTGTACACACTCTATATCGATAGGCAAAACGTTCCGAGTTGAGTGACATATGAAATATACGATTTCGCTGTACATGTTAACAATACAAATCGCTTACTCGGTCATAGTTTGACAAAGGGACCAGTCGGTCTTGAAACTTTGCGACATATGTTTAATACATACATTGTTTGTCTATAAAGTGAGACTTTGATATAACATATTTCTAAACTGATGTATATTATTGTAAACATATTTCAAATTTCACTAGTGATAAAAATATGAAAACATCAGTCAATAAAAAATATACATATCCAAGTGAAATATGTATGATCTTCAAGGGGATTACAACTGGTTCACCCGTTGTCTGTATAATGTGCCAAATTGGAATGCTGTGCTGGGGGCCTTTGGCAGTATATTTCAGTAAGGTAGCACTATAAAGTCGGCAGCAGATACGCGGCTATCATAAAGAGGCAAATTCACCAATATACCCTGTCTCCAGCACACATACACACATGCACGCACACACAACACACATGGAGGCACAACCTTAAATGACCTTAGCTGTTAATAGGACGTTAAATCCTATAAAACATAAACCAAACCAATTAATAATCTGCTAATCACTTTTCACATAATGGCAGGAGATTGCCCGTTATTTGTCAAAACATTTGATTGGATGCTACAGTCACATGTCATCTTTGTATTTTTTGATGTCACAATCAGCCGTGTGATCATCACTTTTGAAGATGTTACTTTTGTTCGTACCGATAATTCCCAGTAAATAACCTGTACAACTGTAATGAATGGAAATATTTGAATATGAAGGAGCTGTTTAACAAATGTTCACTGTTGATCACATTTATCCCATATTACAATAAAAAGTTGTAAAAGAAAATTTCCCTCCCCTCTCTCAATCATGCCAATTTTTAAATCATGCCTTGTGCAACTAGCTACATTCCAAGTAGGATTAAAATTCTTAACATTTTTGTTGTGTTTCCAGAGGGTGACACCACGCTGTCCCAGTACTCTGTCACAGGAATTGTACGTCTTCCACCGATCAGGGTTGATGAAGTAAGTATTGCACAGTGCACATTATTGTACCTCTACCCCATACTGTGCACCAAATACCACCTTTAACCCCCTACCTCCACCCGCTACCTCCAACCCTATATCTCCACCCGCTACCCTCCAACCCCCTACCTCTACCCCCTATCTCTGCCCCCTAACTCCAACCCCCTACCTCTACCCCCTACTTCCAACCCCCTACCTTCAACACCCTACCTCTACCCCCTACCCTCCTACCCGCTACCTCCACCCGCTTCCCTCCAACCCGCTACCCTACATCCCTACTTCTACCGTTTCCCATCCTCCTCTCCTACCTCAATACTATCTCAGCTCTCACATACTAGTAAGTAATACTGTGAAGTCAGATTTTTTCGTTGGATCCAAATTTCGTGTTGTCTTAAAAAAACACATTTCGTGGGTACATGTATTTGTGGATTATGAGTACCCACTCAAACGAAGAGTAGCTTTATATCAAACTTGTAATTACTTTGCAGACCTATGAATTCGTGGATGAATCAATGAAATTAAAAACCTCACAAAATTTTTTGATTTCTACAGTAAGAGTTTTAAATAGAAAACAGACTTTATTTATAATGCAAGGATTCAAACACAATGTTTGAGACTTTTCTTTTTCATGTGTAGAGGGGATTCTGAATTTCAAATAAACTTGACATTTGATTTGGATTTGACAGAGATTTCAATGTACGTCCAGCCTGTACAAAGGACACAGCGGGAGTGGAGAAACTGGTAAAGACTGTCAGCCTTCAGGATAACCTGATGGCCGACCTCAAACAGTACAACCAGGCAAGGAGAGATGAGGTAAAAAGGACTTTCTCTCTTTTTCCGCACTTCTGAGGATTGACCTCTACTATTTTCAACTTTACTTGGCTTTGGGTTTGGGAAGGGATGTTATTTTCCACAGCAGAGCGATTGGTGTTTATCAATCTATAGCCAGTAACAACATTGTCATCATAAGTAAAATCTACCTTATTTCGATCTTTTTAAAAACATCATTTATAGCCAGTAACAACACTGTCATCATAAGTAAAATCTACCTTATTTCGATCTTTTTAAAAACATCATTTATAGCCAGTAACAACACTGTCATCATAAGTAAAATCTACCTTATTTAGATCTTTATAAAAACTTCATTTATAGCCAGTAACAACATTGTCATTATACCTAAAATCTACCTTACTTAGATCTTTATAAAAACATCATTTATAGCCAGTAATAACATTGCCATCATAAGTAAAATCTACCTTATTTCGATCTTTTTAAAAACATCATTTATAGCCAGTAACAACACTGTCATCATAAGTAAAATCTACCTTATTTAGATCTTTATAAAAACTTCATTTATAGCCAGTAACAACATTGTCATTATACCTAAAATCTACCTTACTTAGATCTTTATAAAAACATCATTTATAGCCAGTAACAACATTGTCATTATACGTAAAATCTACCTTACTTAGATCTTTATAAAAACATCATTTATAGCCGGTAACAACATTGTCATCATAAGTCAAATCTACCTTATTTAGATCTTTATAAAAACATCATTTATAGCCAGTAACAACATTGTCATCATACGTAAAATCTACCTTACTTAGATCTTTATAAAAACATCATTTATAGCCAGTAATAACATTGCCATCATAAGTAAAATCTACCTTATTTCGATCTTTTTAAAAACATCATTTATAGCCAGTAACAACATTGTCATCATAAGTAAAATCTACCTTATTTAGATATTTATAATAACATCATTTATAGCCAGTTACAACATTGTCATCATAAGTGAAATCTACCTTATTTAGATCTTTATAAAAACATAATTTATAGCCAGTAACAACATTGTCATCATAAGTAAAATCAACCTTATTTAGATCTTTATAAAAACATCATTTACAGCCAGTAACAACATTGTCATTATACGTAAAATCTACCTTATTTAGATCTTTACAAAAACATCATTTATAGCCAGTAACAACATTGCCATTATGCGTAAAATCTACCTTACTTAGATCTTTATAAAAACATCATTTATAGCCAGTAACAACATTGTCATTATACGTAAAATCTACCTTATTTAGATCTTTATAAAAACATAATTTATAGCCAGTAACAACATTGTCATCATAAATAAAATCTACCTTACTTAGATCTTTATAAAAAAATCATTTATAGCGAGTAACAACATTGTCATCATAAGTAAAATCTACCTTACTTAGATCTTTATAAAAAAATCATTTATAGCGAGTAACAACATTGTCATCATAAGTAAAATCTACCTTACTTAGATCTTTATAAAAAACATCATTTATAGCCAGTAACAACATTGCCATTATGCGTAAAATCTACCTTACTTAGATCTTTATAAAAAACATCATTTATAGCCAGTAACAACATTGTCATTATACCTAAAATCTACCTTACTTAGATCTTTATAAAAAACATCATTTATAGCCAGTAACAACATTGTCAGTATACGTAAAATCTACCTTACTTAGATCTTTATAAAAAACATCATTTATAGCCAGTAACAACATTGCCATTATGCGTAAAATCTACCTTACTTAGATCTTTATAAAAAAATCATTTATAGCGAGTAACAACATTGTCATCATAAGTAAAATCTACCTTACTTAGATCTTTACAAAAACATCATTTATAGCCAGTAACAACATTGCCATTATGCGTAAAATCTACCTTACTTAGATCTTTATAAAAAACATCATTTATAGCCAGTAACAACATTGTCATCATAAGTAAAATCAACCTTATTTAGATCTTTATAAAAACATCATTTAAAGCCAGTAACAACATTGTCATCATAAGTAAAATCTCCCTTATTTAGATCTTTACAAAAACATCATTTATAGCCAGTAACAACATTGCCATTATGCGTAAAATCTACCTTACTTAGATCTTTATAAAAACATCATTTATAGCGAGTAACAACATTGTCATCATAAGTAAAATCTACCTTATTTCGATCTTTTTAAAAACATCATTTATAGCCAGTAACAACATTGCCATTATGCGTAAAATCTACCTTACTTAGATCTTTATAAAAAAATCATTTATAGCGAGTAACAACATTGTCATCATAAGTAAAATCTACCTTACTTAGATCTTTATAAAAACATCATTTTGGGAAAATAAAAAAAACATGTAGCTTACAATTTTACTTTAAAAACATCTGTCTGGTCATTTAAAGTTCAAATAGCAATGTCTTGGATCTGATCTCTTCTATATGTGACATGCAAGGGTAGATGTTTTATTTCTTATACAGTATATGCATCTCCTAAGAATCTATTTTTAACTTTGACATTGACCCATATTCCTACTATATAACCTAGTTCTTGCAAACCGACCTGGGAAAAGTAAGTATAGAAGCTTAACGATTGGGTGATGTATTGACTCTTAGCTTGATGATTGGTCGATGTATTGACTCTAAGCTTGATGATTGGTCGATGAATTGACTGTAATGTTCCATTAAATTGGTTAATGTAGTCATTAGAACGCATACCATGAAACGGGAAATTTTCGCCACATTTATTTTTGGGAACTTGAACGAGAAGGCATATTCAACACATTGCAAAAAATTAACATAAAGTTCATAGTTCCTTACATAAAATTTAACTTCCGACAAATTTGTTTGAAAAAGCAAGAGGACCAAAAATCTGAATGGGTGAAAATATCACGTTTTGTGGAAATTTTAATATATAATATGTTTCTTGTATGTATATCATTATAAAAAGAAACAATGGCTAACATGACATTTCAGCGGATTAATTGATGTTTAACATACGGTAATTACAGATGTGAAGGAGTGAATATGATATTTAGTCATAATTATGTGGTTTGATATGTGTAATGTGATCTTAATATAGATTTGAGTTTTAAAAGATGGGTTCATGCTAACTTTTGGCAATATTTCACTACAGCAAAAACTCATTATACTGCCACCATTTGTCCAGAGAAATTTTAGTGTTATAAAGGGGTTTGGCTATAAATTGAAGGAAATATATACCGGACAAAAAAACACCTTGTAATATGATGGCGATAAGGGAGGTGGCAAATGGAACGAGTGGCATTATATCGAGGTTTTACTGTATCAAAGATATTAAGTCTAACGAATGTTTTTGTAATATCAAAGAAGTAATGATTTTTCCATAAATATCATCAGTGAATTTTTTCCCCCCTGAACTCATTCACCCCCTGAAATTTCATAATAAACTATTCCAACCTTTGAATTGGAAGAGTTCAATTGTGTCTTCAGGGGGTTAATGAGTTAATCGTAGTACAGCTTACTACTGTTTTGAAGTTAAGAAAAAACAAACTGTTTAGCTCTTTTATTGTACTTTTCTTATTGCATTTAACCTTTTTTAATTCATTTGAAAAACGTGATTATAATATATGTACTTAAAAGAACCAGCAAGAACCCATCTTTGATATATTTGATAAAGTATAAAAAAAATATTTTTGATTTAGCTTTATTAGATTGTTTAACTATTAACAGTCATGTGGTGCAATTTTTAATGCTTTTGTTTTTATGGGGAAAAGTTTTTGTAATATTTTGGTGTCATCGAAAAAACCCACCATGATGTATGAGGTTGTGTGATTTTGTTTTTTAAACTGAAACAATATGAACATTTTTATTTAATGTCCAAGGTTTAATTTATCTTGGCCTGTTTTTATGAAAACTTTAAAAATATTTTATATATATCCATAAAATTAGAAAAACTTTTAAATTGTTTTTTTATCATAATTCCATTTCAGTTTTACCTTTCTCAGCTAAAACAAGCATTTTATGAATTTTTAACAACTCATTGAATAAAAATCTCTTTTCAGATAATATCTCACTTGTAATATTGAATTTTAAATATCCAGAAAAAATTTCTGTGGAAATATTTTCGGCAAAAATATATATTGGGGATAAATTTGTATTCACATGTACTATTATACAACTTGTTTGTCAAATTGTTTGATGAGAAATAGTTACCCGAGCATTGTTTGATGAGAAATAGTTACCTCAGTATTGTTTGATGAGAAATAGTTACCCCAGCATTTTTTGATGAGAAATAGTTACCCCAGCATTGTTTGATGAGAAATAGTTACCCATGTATTGTTTGATGAGAAATATTTGCCCATGTTTAATGAGAGGTAGTTACCCCAGTAATTGTCTGTAGCTAACAGTTGAAAAATTAGATTTAAAACAATTTGCTATAACATCTATTTGTAGGATGGTATGGAGATTCAGGCGTTTGTTGCTGAATGTCAAGGCCAGATCGTTGGGACAGCTGTTATAAGAAAAGAAGAGGTTTGTAAAAACAGATCGAAGTCGGCCACAATGTCTAAACCCCTGTGTGCTAAGACACTCAAGTTTGACTCCAGGTGTCGAGAATGTTAACCTCTGTGTGCTAGTACACACAAGTATGATTCCAGATGATGAGAGTCTAAATCCCTGTGTGCTAGTACACACAAGTTTTACTAAGGTGTCGGGGCAAATTGTGTTTCTCCTCTAAACGGGATCTAAGAAGATAAGAAATTAAAAGCAAATGGAGATATTTTACTAAATAGTCATCACTCTTCTTCAAACTAATCTGTTTCAAAAGTGAAAATAATGTCTCAATAATTGAAGAGAAAATAAAGAAATATATTGATTATTATACCCAAAACAGAATTGGGTGTCCTTCATCCAACTGTGCATAGACACATATTACCCATCATGCACTTTGTATTTTATGGACCAATTGCTTTGAAATTTTAGTTGTAAAGCTATGAAAGGTGACTGTTTTTTCTGATATGATGAATGTTATAGATATCATCATCATATCACCTTACCTGGAGAAATATTGTTTGACTAGAAAAATGTCTGAAAAATTAGGATTCTACGTCTGTAATGATTTGTTGACATTATTTACAGGACATTGAGTATATCAGATCTCACTACAACATAGAGGACTTTATCTACTTCAACCATCACAGGCGAGAGGAACATGGCCACCTTCACCACTTCGCGCTCAACCCCATCTTCAGCCATCTATCCAAGCATTTCATCAAGGTAAGCAGCTGGTCAAATGCACCCTGTGCTGAAATCTTCTTCAACTCATAGAAAGTTTTGAGTAAGTCTGTTGTCAAAAGCAGTGTTTGAAAATGTGTGAGCCTCGGCATGTTGGTAGATATGGGTTCAAGTCTTGTCTTTGCAGCAGACAACTAGTTGTATAAGGCTCCACACCAGGAGCATTTGGAATGATTGCAGTGGTTTTTTTCTGAGGACTTTTTGGGGCCAATAATGGGCCTCATTTCCAATTGAACTATTTCATATTTATGCCTAGTTCCCAAAATTTGTAGTTCACTCCTAAAAATGTCCTTCCGAATTAGTATATTTTCTCAAAATGAGACAAAAAGGTCCCATACAAAATTAACAAAAAAAAAATACTGGATTTTTTTTATTTTATCTTTTTATCTGGATTTCCCTTTTAGAAAGTATAACCAAGTATTTTGATATTTTTTGCTGAAGTACGCCTAAGTTCAATGTTCAAAGTGAGACAGTTTTGCTGTAAATATGATTTAATTATGTTATCACATAACAGATTTTGCATATAGGGATCTAAAATCGGAAGTACCCTGGCTTTGTTATAAACACATGTTTAACTTACTAATAGGTGATCCATTTTATAAGCAAAATTATCATTTAACTTGCATACATGACTTTCTCTGTTTTTCAGGAAATACTGCGACAGGGTCACAAGACATGCCTGTACTACCCGCTGTATCCCCCTTACACTGACAAACAGGTAGGTCAAACACCACTGACGTCCCGCTGTATCCCCCTTACACTGACAAACAGGTAGGTCAGACACTACTGACATCCCGCTGTATCTCCCTTACACGGACAAACAGGTAGGTCAGACACCACTGACGTCCCGTTGTATCCCCCTTACACTGACAAACAGGTAGGTCAAACACCACTGACGTCCCGCTGTATCCCCCTTACACGGACAAACAGGTAGGGCAGACACCACTGACGTCCCGATGTATCCCCCTTACACTGACAAACAGGGAGGTCAGACACCACTGACGTCCTGATGTATCCCCCTTACACTGACAAACAGGTAGGTCAGACCCCACTGACGTCCCGCTGTATCCCCCTTACACTGACAAACAGGGAGGTCAGACACCACTGACGTCCTGATGTATCCCCCTTACACTGACAAACAGGTAGGTCTGACACCACTGACGTCCCGATGTATCCCCCTTACACTGACAAACAGGTAGGTCAAACACCACTGACGTCCTGATGTATCCCCCTTACACTGACAAACAGGGAGGTCAGACACCACTGACGTCCTGATGTATCCCCCTTACACTGACAAACAGGGAGGTCAGACACCACTGACGTCCTGATGTATCCCCCTTACACTGACAAACAGGGAGGTCAGACACCACTGACGTCCTGATGTATCCCCCTTACACTGACAAACAGGGAGGTCAGACACCACTGACGTCCTGATGTATCCCCCTTACACTGACAAACAGGTAGGTCTGACACCACTGACGTCCCGATGTATCCCCCTTACACGGACAAACAGGTAGGTCAAACACCACTGACGTCCTGATGTATCCCCCTTACACTGACAAACAGGGAGGTCAGACACCACTGACGTCCTGATGTATCCCCCTTCCCCTGACAAACAGGTAGGTCAGACACCACTGACATCCCGCTGTATCCCTCTTACACTGACAAACAGGTAGGTCAGGCACCACTGTCATCCTGCTGTATCCCCCTTACACTGACAAACAGTTAGGTCAGACACCACTGTCATCCTGCTGTATCCCCCTTACACTGACAAACAGGTAGGTCAGACACCACTGACGTCCTTGAATGACCTTAGCCGTTGATAGGATGTCAGACCATTAGATAAACATAGATATAAAGACCCCACTGAGACTTGAATTCTTCACAGCACCTAGTAAATTTTGCAGGACGAAACATCTGCAATTTTTGTTCCTGGAACATGCTGTTTGTCTGGCAAGGCATGTCAGAGGACCATAACCCCTTTTGAAAAAAAACCATTCAGTATTTGTATTTACGTTTTATTAATGAGGTACTTGTGCTTTATTTATGTTATTTCACTCTTGTGACAGTGTTGTAACAATCAGATTGATGATGTCACAATAGTGGTCTGAGTCTGACCAAATAGCGATACAGTCTCAAAACACGGGTTGCATTCTTTATGCTTTGTGATGGGAGAACGGAGAGCAAATGTAAACATGCTTGTATGAAAGGTGACCTTTTTAAAAATATCATTATTTGTTTACCATTATGCGTTTTTCCTGATGTCAGTGATTTTATTTTACATCGTGTTACAGATCGTGGAGAAGCACTCTTTAGTCTGTTGTTTGAACGACATGGTGCCGGTACGATCCCGCAGACAAATCATCTACCCCGTAGAAAAACTGGGAGTGAACGCTCCGTCTGAGAGGGTGTTGGCCGACAGGGACGCATACGCCCTCAACCACATCAACAGAAAACTGGTGATGGAGCCAAAGGTGCGTTAACGTAGAATTTAAGCTCTCTGATTCTCTAACCTATCAGAACAACGGCTCCTGAGCTAATGTTTTATTTGTCTGTATTGCCCTGATCGTCTTCTTTATCTTAGGGATGCTTCATTTGTGAACCATTGTAGAGATATTGAAGACCAGCGATATCATGGTCATCATCCTCGATACTTCAGGGGTTACGCTCACTTTTGCTCTCTGCACCCCTGGATCAAGTCATATGAATATTGAAGGCAAACGATTAGCTCATTGATTTGGTACAAAAACCTGACCAATAGCTAGGCTGATACCTGCTCTTTGAAGATTACAGAGGATCGACACCCAACTTCAAGGTCAGTCAATTTTACCGTTACGTGATTCGTGATGGAGAGATTCTTTTAATGTACATCCAAGGATCAAACAGTTTTCTCGTCTCGTTCACAAGGTGGCACGAACAGAGCCTTCAATTTTGTAATGACATATTCCACGGGTGCAGAGAGCGTAAGTGAGCGTAACCACTTGAGTATCGCGGATGCATGACTTTGTGACTGCCCAGTAGGTTTTAGTCAAGCATACCAACATTTCAGCACAGCTTTTGTGTTTTCTTGTGCTAACATGCGTGCTGCTAAATCAACCCTAAGGAACGTTGAAGAATTCATTTAAGTTTTGAAATTCTACCTGTCAGTTTATTGATTTTACGATGTCTTTCATCAGGTGACGATAAACGCCAGGATCGTGGTCATCGGAGCATCAAATGTTGGAATTGCGTTTTTAGAAACTCTGGCATACAGGTTGGTAACATGATCTTAATACATTAAAACATGACGCAAAGGTAACTTATTATTACGTCACGTCTGAGCCATGATTTCTACCTTAGCCTTGTATACTGTTGTTCTGAAGACAGCTAGCCTAGCCTAGCTAGTTGAAGCATGTTAGCCGATGATAAAACTACGGAATCAGTTTTGATGATTCCTAGCTTAGCTAGTTGAAGCATGTTAGCCGATGATAAAACTACGGAATCAGTTTTAATGATGCCTAACCTAGCTAGTTGAAGCATGTTAGCCTATGATAAAACTACGGAATCAGTTTTCGAAACATGTAAACCGATGATAAAACTACGGAATCAGTTTTAATGATGCCTAGCTTAGCTAGTTGAAGCATGTTAGCCGATGATAAAACTATGGAATCAGTTTTAATGATGCCTAGCCTAGCTAGTTAAAGCATGTTAGCCGATGATAAAACTACGGAATCAGTTTTAATGATTCCTAGCTTAGCTAGTTGTAGCATGTTAGCCGATGATAAAACTACGGAATCTGTTTTGATGATGGATAGCCTAGGTAGTCGCGACATGTAAACCAATAATAAAACTACGGAATAAGTTTTGATGACGGCTAGCTTAGGTAGTCGAAACATGTCAACCGATAATAAAACAACAGAAGAATCTGTTTTGATGAGGGCTAGCCTAGGTAGTCGCGACATGTAAACCAATAATAAAAATACAGAATCTGTTTTGATTACGGCTAGCCTAGGTAGTAGAAACATGGAAACCGATAATAAAACAACAGAAGAATCTGTTTTGATTACGGCTAGCCTAGGTAGTTGAAACATGTAAACCGTTGTATAAGGCTCCTGGTGTGGAGCCTTATACAACGGTTTACATGTTTCTACGACCTAGGCTTGCCATCATCGAAACAGATTCTGTAGCTTTATTATCGGTTTACATGTTTTGATGATGGCTAGCCCAGGTAGTTGAAACATGTAACCCGATAATAAAACTCCAGAATCTGTTTTGCTGATGGCAAGCCTAGGGAGTCGAAACATGTAAGCCGATGATAAAACTATGGAATCAGTTTTAATGATGCATAGCCTAGCTAGTTAAAGCATGTTAGCCGATGATAAAACTATGGAATCAGTTTTAATGATTCCTAGCTTAGCTAGTTGAAGCATGTTAGCCGATGATAAAACTACAGAATATGTTTTGATGACGGCTAGCCAAGGTAGTCGAAACATGTTAACCGATAATAAAACAACAGAAGAATCTGTTTTGATTACGGCTAGCCTAGGTAGTAGAAACATGTAAACCGACAATAAAACTACAGAATATGTTTTGATGACGGCTAGCTTAGGTAGTCGAAACATGAAAACCGATAATAAAAATACAGAATCTGTTTTGAGGATGGCAAGCCTAGGTAGTTGAAACATGGAAACCGATAATAAAACTCCAGAATCTGTTTTGCTGATGGCAAGCCTAGGTCGTAGAAACATGTAAACCGACAATAAAACTACAGAATCAGTTTTGATGATTGCAAGCCTAGGTAGTCGAAACATGGAAACCATTAATAAAACTCCGGAATCAGTTTTGATGCTGGCAAGCCTAGGTAGTAGAAACATGGAAACCGATAATAAAACTACGGAATCTGTTTTGATGCGGCTAGCCTAGGTAGTGGAAACATGTAAACCAAAAATAAAACTACGGAATAAGTTTTGATGACGGCTAGCTTAGGTAGTCGAAACATGTCAACCGATAATAAAACAACAGAAGAATCTGTTTTGATGCGGCTAGCCTAGGTAGTGGAAACATGTAAACCAATAATAAAACAACAGAAGAATCTGTTTTGATTACGGCTAGCCTAGGTAGTTGAAACATGGAAACCGATAATAAAACTCCGGAATCAGTTTTGAAGATGGCAAGCCTAGGGAGTCGAAACATGTAAGCCGATGATAAAACTACAGAATCAGTTTTGATGATGGCTAGCCCAGGTAGTTGAAACATGGAAACCGATAATAAAATTACAGAATCTGTTTTGATTACGGCTAGCCTAGGTAGTCGAAACATGTAAACCGATAATAAAATTACAGAATCTGTTTTGATGATGGCAAGCCTAGGTAGTTGAAACATGTAAACCGATAATAAAACTACGGAATCAGTTTTGATGATGGCAAGCCTAGGTAGTCGAAACATGTAAACCGATAATAAAACTACGGAATCAGTTTTGATGACAGCTAGCCTAGGTAGTCGAAACATGTAAACGGATAATAAAACTACGGAATCTGTTTTGATGATGGCAAGCCTAGGTGGTCAAAACATGCATGTAAACAATTAATATAACTGCGGAATCGGTTAGGGGGCTTAGATGGTGGTGGGGGTGGGGGGTATCTTTGCTCACAGTTTCTCTAGTTTCTGTCTTGTTAAAGTTTGAAACCACTTCTTATTAAACTTTATTTATCAGCCCCCACCTGCGATTCCATAACCTGACCTTGATTTCACCCCATGGCCTTCCGGGCGAGATGGCGCCAGATGAGGTTCGGGACCAGATGCTTGGAAACAGTTTCTGTTACAACCAGAATGAGTTCTCGAAGACCTCGCTACGAACCTGGGTCAACGTCGTTTATGGGAAAATGACAGCCATTGACAGAAAGAAGAAATTTGTGGTTGTGGAAAATAGTTCCATGGTTCCGTACGATCACCTGATCCTGTGTACTGGGGAACAATACCAGATCCCCGCCCCCACGGAAGCCGATATTGAAGGAGGGGCCACAAACGCTGATCTCCCAAACTCCCCTGATATGAGATACATGAAGGCACAACCCAAGAATTTGTTCCTAATTAACGACGAGTATGATGCTGCTGTGGCACTTTACTGGATAGAAAACAGCCTCCTCAAATCATCTCGTATGTATACCATTTGAAAAAAAAAATCTTAATAGAGAAATTTTAGATTCTTTTCAAATTACAGCAAAGTTGATCAGTCTCAAATGATTTGAAGCATGTTTTTTTCTTGATTTATAAGGTTAAGCATATACAAAAAAACTGGTGTTCTGATGAGTCTAAAAAGTTTGAAGCATGTCTTTTTCTTGTTTATGAATTGTATGGATACGTACAAAAAACCTGGTGTTCCAATTGAGGTGTATTAAAAACAAACCCAATTTATTATTGTTACAGGGAAGGTTGTTATCTATGGTGGGACATTGGATGCCTATTGTTGTGTACAGTCCCTTCTCGCAATGGGTGTGACAGGAGATAGAATCTCCCTGGTGGAACCCTCAGCTGCTTATCAGGTAGCCGCATGTGGTTCCAGGAACTAAAACAGAAACACAGACAGAATTCTATTGGATATATTGAACAGGAAATGTTTTAAAAGCCACTCAAAAAGCGTTGGTAATCCAGCTACCGTTGGTAGTTGTATTAGTGGTTGTTTGATAAACAAAGCAAGACTATATTTTAGTTTTTACTCTCAAAACAGTTTAACTAGTATAGTTCAAATATACAAGTTGTTAATAGCTTTAAACAACTCTCGATTTTGGCAAAATAGAGTTTCTTATAATGAATCCTCAGGTCGGTTGGTTTTTTGTCTAAGATGTTAGATCTCATTCTTGTGCTCAACTTTTTACATTGATTTACAGACAACTTGCTTCAACAACCCAACACTCGATGCGACGATCCTCAAATCGGTGAAAGAAGCTGGTGTCCAGGTGTATTCTGGGTACTATCTCGCCCAGTGGAATGACGGGATTGGTGAGATAGGGGAGATAACTTCGGCAAGCTTCACCTCAAACAAAGAACCTCTTATCCTGGAATGTGGGGTACGTGAGATCAGAAATTTCAGTGAAGATGTTTCATTTTCTGTATTATTGATATGAAATTACACAGCAATCTGTTGTAAATACAGCTGCATATGTAAATTAATTCTTCCTTCAAAATGTGTGTTCCAGATATTATAGAATTCTTCCATCTTATTTATTGTATTTGAGCTGTTTTAGTTTGAAGAATTATTTTTTCTCTGCAATTGATTTTTTGAAATGTTATAATTGTCTTCAATGTAACCATGGTTACATGGGTACTAGACCATCATATAGGAAATTTGTACTGTACTTGTACGAACACAAAAGAGAGTTTTTATTTTCTGTTTTTCAGGCATTCTTTGCTTACTACAAGGCTTCGGTAGACACAGACTCATTTAGAGGTGGGTATAATACTGTGTATACAGTCTTATTTAACTCATTCACCACTGAAGACACATTTGAACTCTTCCAATTCAAAATTTGGAATAGTCCATTATGAAACTTCAGGGGTGAATGAGTTATTTTAAAAATAACTCATTTCATACTGTGTTGAATTTGTAATTTTGATCCATACAGTTTATACAGGAACTGTGGACTATTGATATTTATTACCAAAATATTTTGTAATGCCAGTCTTAAATTGTTTGTCCGCAGTTTCCCTATACAAATGAATAACCATTTTTTCATTGGGATGTAGGTAGTGTTTTTTTTTAAATTTTAGAAGTTTCACAGATTTCTTTATAAAAACACTTCATGTCAGTGATTTTTTCATTGAGAATTATTGTTTTTTTAACAAAAAGTTCCAAAAAAGTTTGAGGTTGGGCCATTTGCAGTGAATCAGACTGGAAACTGCAAACAAACTATTTTTTTTTAAATATGGCCTTAAGTTATAGATGTTATTATTGAAATTTAAGTTAACATGTTAATTGCCATCTTTTTCTGTAAGTGGGAATATTGATTCAAATTTGTTTGTAATTGTACAAAAGTATTTCAGATGTTTATCACTAAAGGTGTGTGCCACTTCTGACATTACTGTTGAAATTTTTATTTTTCATATTACAAAATAATATTATTTAAAAAAAATCGTTAGCAGTTTTTTCATGGAATGAGTTTGCAGGGTTTAAATTTTGTATAACAACCTGGAAGTAAATGTTCTTCACTAAATCTCCATTAAAAAATGATAATTATATTTCAGATATTTTTATAATATTGCAAACGTCGCAACAAATAGGGCATAAGAATGTGCGTTGATAAAAGTTTCTATAAAACATTTTTTTTTTGTCTGCCCAGCCATCAATGATGCTTGTCTGGTGTACGATGGTAAACTGGTGATTGATGCAGCATTCCACACCAATGACGTCGCTATCCGTGGCGCTGGTACATTGACTAAATACCAGCGTAAATATCACGCCGAGCAGTGGACACACGCTAACTTCAACTCCAAAGAAGTCGGCATCCATGTAAGTTAGAGTCTATCTGTACTTCTGTGTGAAAACTAACCTTTCTGACTCTTACTTCACTTTCATGTTATTGCTTTGTTGAGAAATACATAAATAAATAGGTTACAAAACATTTTCTTCGTCTCAAAGTGGTTCACAAATTATTATCTGTGGTTAAAGGGTCTTTGCAACCAACCAATATCTTTCTCAACTCCATGGGGAGCATACAGCCGGTTCTACCATTTTGGCGCTCACAGCTAGCATTCTACAATTCTAGCACTGCCCCATCCACGTACCCACGAACCTGCAACCCTTCGGTCACGAGCCCGGCGTCCTACCACAAGACTACCACGCCTCACTATCATTATGATTAAGAAAATCACATGATGAAATCTAAGATATTCATGGGCTTTTTGGTATCAACACTTAGCTAGTTTGACAGCAGTTTTGATTTCACCAATAGTTGTTTGTCCAGATAGGTACAATACTCCTTGACAGGTACAATACTCCTAGAGAGGAACCTTTCTTGTAGACTATAAAACTAGGGTGATATTGTATACTTGCACAGTTACCCTGATGTATTTGTATATAAAGAGGTACTGTATAGCGCTTTTAATTTGTGGGGTCAATATTTTGCGGTTTCCTATTCAATACATATTCGAGGATGTTAAATTTCGCTATGCACCCAGAGGGGCCTTTATAGACAGGTAATCACATGAAGAGGGCTCTTTATAGACAAGTAATCAAGTACTATATAGACCAGTATTCACTATAGAGAGGGGCCTTTATAAACAGATATTTCTTCACAAAGGTGATTTTTATATTTCCCAAAGTCCTTTAATATAAGACTTCCACCACTAGATAACCAGTTTAGTTATACACTTAGTATATAATGAACATTTAGGACATCATCTTCCTTTAACATATGATTCTATGTAAACTCGTCATGTAACGAGGGCTTAATAAACAAATGTACTTGAGCCTTCGATTTACAAACATAGATAAGAAATTAAAGTGAAACACTCACAGGTTTATCTAAATTAAAAGTAAATCACTCACAGGTTTATTTAAATTAAAGTAAATCACTCACAGGTTTATCTAAATTAAAGTAAATAACTCTCAAGTTTATCTAAATTAAAGTAAATCACTCACAGATTTATCTTAATTAAAGTAAATCACTCACAGGTTTATCTAAATTAAAATAAATAACTCACTGGTTTATCTTAATTAAAAGTAAATCACTCACAGGTATATCTAAATTAAAAGTAAATCACTCACAGGTTTATCTAAATTAAAGTATATCACTCACATGTTTATCTAAATTAAAGTAAATCACTCACAGGTTTATCTAAATTAACGTAAATCACTCACAGGTTTATCTAAATTAAAGTAAATCACTCACAGATTTATCTTAATTAAAGTAAATCACTAACAGGTTTATTGAAATTAAAGTAAATCACTCACAGGTTTAATTATATTAAAGTAAATCACTCACAGGTTTATCTAAATTAAAGTAAATCACTCACAGGTTTATCTAAATTAAAGTAAATCACTCACAGGTTTATCTAAATTAAAGTAAATCACTCACAGGTTTATCTAAATTAAAGTAAATCACTCACAAGTTTTATCTAAATTGAAGTAAATCACTAACAGGTTTATCGAAATTAAAGTAAATCACTCACAGGTTTATCGAAATTTAAGTAAACACTCACAGGTTTATTGAAACAAGCATATTTTATGGGATAGTTTTATAGAAATGGGGTCTGTCCTTCTGTCTCTCTGTTTGTTCAGCTGTTTAGAAAGAATTTTGTACATATTTGGGTAACTATGATAGCTTTATGGATTATATTTATTTCCATCAGCGAGGTAAGCTCTTCTATTTGTACGCATTTTAACAGATGCTGAAATTGACCCATATTTCATTCATCAGTGTACTCTGTACCATTCATAATTGTTAAGTATATGGGTCATTGTATCTGGGAATTTTATCAATTCTTTTCATTGAATCTAGTTTGTAATAATATATCTTGGTAAATCAGTATGGATTCCGTGTCACTGCGGAACGTTCTGACAAAGACAATAAAGTTTTTACTTCATTTGCAACACAAATCATCTCCTTTGACTTTAAATAAGTCCCTCATTCGTTTTCTTCTCCTTTTTTTCTTCTTCCACCAAATGATTTTTGAAATTTTTCACATGAACTACTGCCAGATACTTACAAAACTTCACGTAAGCATCGGTATGTGTGTAGACGTGTGTCACGTGTTTCATTTTCTGACCTGTCATCAAACATGGCGGTGGTGGCCTATAATTGGTTGCCATGTTTACAGGTGTGCACCAAGGTGCTACCATTGGTCCCTCTCTCTTTCTGATTTTGATCCAGTTTAGTATATACAGGTATTACAGCATTGCAATTTCTTTCTAACTGAAGAGAAGTCAATTTTTGTCCCACCGCGACCAAGTAGCAGAAGCGAGACTAACATGTTGCATTTCCGATGGCGGCGTCAACATTAAGTTTTTGCGTTTAACTTAGTTTCACTGAAAGTATAAGTGCTAGACCAACCAAACTTGGATCATAGATGCATCTTAGGTAGTACATCTCAACCCATGCATCAAATGCTGGATGCAGCCTACCTTTCATGGTCCATTGACTTTGTCAGCATCTCTATCAACATTATGTTTTTGCGTTTTAAGTTAGTTTCTCTGATATGTGCATGGATGGTCGAAGCGGGGCACAGGCAAGACACATCAATCCGTATGGCTTGTTATTTCTTTATTGTGTGATATAATGGTACATATATGTCTTAGAACCATTAAGGTTTCTCGTACCAATGCCAAAACCTGTTACTACACATTGGAAACTATTTTTCTGCATGGCTATAGTTTTGATAAATCATTTCTGAAAAGTAAACCATACCTTGTGAGACTTCTATAAAAAAAAGTATCATTTAGTTATAGATAAACATAATGGAATCAATAATATTATTCTGATTATGCTCAAGCAAGGATTCTGTGCTAAAATCAGCTTTCTTGTATCTTGCTTAAATCATGTCAAACAATCAATAAGTCAAATGTAAACAGTGAAAATAAAAAGTATATTCATATTCGATTTTTTGGACAACGAATGTTTCAATTATTTTATTATAGGCTATCCCCATAGGGTAACCCTAAATATCCCCTTTATGGGGCCCCTTCAATGCTAGAAGTAATTAAGGTTTTTTTCATTGATCAAGAGGTCAGTTCCCCTTGTAGCATCCGACGCGCACCCCACTAATTGACCCGCTTCGCTGAAGAAAAATTGACGCCATTTTTTTTCGAACAAACAATTATCATCAAATACAAACAACAACAATCCTTTGGATCTGACCACGAAAGCTTAAATAATCTCACACTCCTCCCCTTCAGCAGCTCTGTTAAGTAAGGCATACTGTATAGGAATTAGAACTTTGAGTCATACAGTATATTTTGTTTTTCTTCAATCATTGTATAACTTTTTTACAGAGAATGTTGTTCATTTTCTTAGTGCCAAAGACTGACACTGTTTTTACTATAATCATGTTATCTCTTTGTTACACGTGTTGGTACACTTTATATATTTTTACACCTGTTGTTATATCCATGTTTGTACAGTTCTTATATGTTTCATTTATTTTTGACCAGATACCATTCATCAAGTTCCTTGTAAATTTATGTACCAAGAAAATAACCTTTAAGGCATTTGTATTAGGTATTTCGAAAGCCTTTCTATAATTCGCAACTCTAGCTATTGCTTCATAAAACATTGGCTTGGTCAAAGTGAGACAACACTGCCAGCTGGTCAGAGCCTTGGAAAACCTACCTCCCCCTTCCACACAAGGAACATATAAGTATATGTGGGAGTTGGGGTTGGGTAGCCTGCTCTCCAGCACTTTTACCTTTTATTTTAGGAATCTAGGTCGATCTGGTATCTTTAGTATGGTATCTGGTTTTATGTTATATTTCATATGGTGGCGGTATTATTTGCCGCACCTTCACAAAACATTTTATTTTAAGTCTTCTGTTCAGATATTTCAAGAAAGAAATGATTTCAAGAGAACAAGCTATACAGAATAATTTAATAAATCCGGCAACCCTTCTATTTTCGATTGGGTGAGCCATCTACGACAAAATGGAAGGTAACTCTATATGTGTAAAACCAGAGTGAATCTCTAGTGTTTTGCCTGCAGTTGGACAGGGATGCTTAACTTGGAATGTCAAATTTACTTGAACCTTAGTAAAATAGGTATAAAAACACAGGGATTTGTATTGAGTATTGTTTACAGTTGAATAGCTCTTCTTCCTCCTGAAATATAATTATGTTTATGTTGTAACAATAGATTTTCAAAGGCTGTGACACCCCCTCCCCCCCCCCCCCAAAAAAAAAAAAANAAAGTAAAACCCAACTAAATATAAACAAAAAAGTCATTTAATTCTTATTTTTTTATGATAAAGAAGATGAATTCCTGGAGCCCATTGAAACAGATTAAGTCTAAGTACATTATACATGAAAATAGAATACATTCTCTGACCACACAAAAAACTCTTGATGTCATGACGATCTTCTGCCAAATTGCTATAAATAGATCAATCATGTGGTATATCCCTGGTAATGTTACAAATGTCATGTTTTATATGATACTACGAGATACCGAGAAATCAATGATGGCGTACACATGAAGTAATCGCGTGGGCCGATGTTGACTACAACGGCGACATCACTAATGTAAAGTAATACCCCGATGTCCCTTAGGAAAACAGGAAAATGGGAACACTATCTGAAAATTGATCCCCCCAGGCCGAAATTGACCATATTCATTTAACAATTCTTTTAGGAAGTCTATCTTCTAAACAACTGAGCGACTTGATCGTTAACTTATAAGGCTCAAACGTTACTTCATTGTATATCTTCCAGCTTGTAAAGTTTATGTAAACCTAACCTAAATGTAAATTGTAATGTGTAATTATTCAGTAAATAGCTTTTATTTGAAGCTTAATCCCGTTGAGATGGACCGTCAACATTCAAATATTTTGTAAGGAGATTGTGTTGGAAAACGAAATGCTTTTTTTACCTAAATCTCATCCTAATTAAGGCCTATACAAATTAATGCTTAAGAGTGTCGAGGACTTGGACAAATCTACAACACAGAAACAATCCCATCGTTTGATCGTTTTAATATAAATATGCATGTCTATATCATTCCGCTCTTCTAGACTGTTAGTTATGAAACCAAGATAAAAAAAATATGTTTAGGGATGTTTTCATTTACACATGCACCTGTGTGAGAGAGAAAATCAATTGATTATTTTGTTGATGTGGTGCTGTGTTTGATGGTATGAATGGTAAATATTGACATTACTTTTGATAGGAAATAGAAACAGGTCAATGACACTGGCTGTTGACAATTCACATTGCACTTGTCTGGCTGCAGCAGCTGAAAGTGTTAATTGCTTATGTTTTTGATATCTTTAATTTGAAATATTCCAGAAAAAGGGGAAGGATTAAAACAAGCAGTTTTCAGATCTAAAATTGAAATTCCATATTGGACAATGATAAGAATATTTTGCTAGCTGTAGGTGTTAGAATATTTTGATTAATTAAGTCATTAGATGCAAATATTTACTGTTTATTTATTTCAAATATTTGAAAAATATTAAAATGAAAATTTTAAGGAAAACGGAAATGAAATTTGAATTTCTAACATGACAAGGTAGAGATTTCATTATAAAGCTTGATTTATTTTTATATCAAAATTTAAATGAAATAAATGTTTTTGATTTTTTTTTTTTAATGTATTGTATTATGACACTTTATTTCATGGGAATTATATATTTTACTTTATTAAGTATTCAAATTCTAAAGTCAGGAAAATTATTTGCCATTATTATTTTTTCATATTATTCCAGACAAGTGATTGGCCAGGAGTGCATCACGTGTCCAACGATAAAAACCAATTTTGACTTGGAGCGCATGATTTTTGTTGAAGGACTGGGTGTTTCTAAAAATAGAATTATGATGTGTTTCCAAACAAGGACCGTCCCACTTCCGAAGCTTTTTTGTTGTGTTTTTTTCAGATTGCTTACATTACTGTTTTGTAAAATAATAAAACAATTGTAGCCTTTCACTTTGGTTAATACCTGGATTTATCGACCCGAGAAAAGATATATTGACCTCGGACTGCACCTTCGGTCAATATATCTATTCTCGGGTCGATAAATCCAGGTATCAACCTCAGCCAAAGGCTATAATTGAATAATATTAAATGGAGTAAAATGCAAACAAAAAATCCACTGCAAGTTTAAAGTGACACTAGGTCACAATTATACAAAAATAGGAAATGACGAATTTTTTATTAGTAAATTAAACATACGGAAAGGTAATAGCCCATATACAGCATCATGCGATACGATGATCAATTTCAGCAGTGATGATCAGTACAAATATTTCCTGGTTCATGTTTGAAGTACGTTTCTGTGTCGAGTTCGTATTTACATCGCCGGACATTAAAAGCATCGGTGATGAATGGGTATGTCGTTATGGGTATTTTAATGTTACGACAAAAAACGCAGTAAATCGACAATGTAAATATTGTTTTCCGGTATGGGTTATTGATGATGTTGGGAATATGTGATGGTGTGCACGCACTAATGTGTAATTCGGTATTGATGAAATAGCACTTTATGAAATTACAGTTACAGTTTTTCATGTGTAACAAGACTACTCCAAACTAGGTTTTTATATGATGCATTATTTAATCATCAAATAAAAGAAAAATGGAGAGTAGTTACAGGGATCTTTGAACTGAAAATTATATTTTAGTAATAATCTGAATATAACAGTTCAAACCTTGTCATACTGCCCTGCAATCTTTTGGCATTCTAAAGGGTGTCAGCATTTTATTGAGAGGGACAGATATAGGCAGGGTGGTAAATCAGAAGCAGAATATCATTTTGAGGTTTTAGCTGCCAGTCTAAACGAGTAAAATATTTTAAACTCATATTATGGTTGTATTTTCATTAATTAAATTAAAAGATTTCTGAACATTTTCTCAATATCATCAGTGCAAGGAAATTCTATAAATTAAAGTCCTAGGATAATGGAAAATATTTTCATACTTTATTTGGGCCCTTGAAAGGTAAATACAGTTTGTAAAACAGTTGTCTCCCTTTATCCTATTTATGGGATTATGGGACTTGGTCAATGAGCAAATAAGTAAATGGTATGTTGATTTAATCAGAAAGCAAATAGGTAATAGGTATGTTGATCCAATCAGAAAGCAAATAGGTAAAAGGTATGTTGTGGATATATTTATTCACTGTGCATGTTGAGGCAAGGTAAAATATGAGAACCCTTGGATTTGGTAGTACATTTGTCCTACACCATATCAAGTAACCATGTGTTGCTATGTTAACTTATAATCATAGCCCATCTGGATTAGAGTTTGATCCATATCAGTACAATGATGTTGATTTAATATTGTCATACTGTTTGTATGAAATCTTGTTTTAACCCTTTCACCCCTATGTAACTTTAGTAGACTCTACCATTCATTGATCTAGATGTCTCTATTATGGTCTACAGTGGTGAAAGGGTTAAATACATTAAAAACAGATGTTAGTCATTTAAAGAAAATACTAAAAATTACCAGGAAACCAATCTTAAAAGTTGTATTTATGATGTAATTTGATTGAACATTATTGTCTTCATTTAATAATCACACAAAAAGTTAATTTAAAGACACATTTAAAAAATAGCTGGAAGAGAAAACTAATGAAGCTTTCAAAGGCTAGGCTAATATCTTCAGTTACCAAAGATATCTTTGAGGTTGAATGGAAAATTGAAGTTAAAATAAGCTGTGTTGATCACTTTAGTCGTGAAGAACATTAAATTGTCTGGTGAGGCTTCTTCAAACAATGTACTTACTTGTGTAACCTTATTAGGCATCATCATGTAAAACAGGAAATGTTTTCTCACATCAAAACAAAGTAGTTTATTGGTCGGCTTTCAAATCGTCCTCAAAGTATTAACGGCAAATTTTGTATAACTTGTAGAAACAGGAAGTCGTGTCTCTACGTGACAGTGTTTGTCATCTAATACAGATCTTTTAAGTATTTCTATGGAAATCTGTGGAGATCATAGGTTTAGGTAACTCTGATCTTGTTGACGTGTTCCACTGCCACGGGATTAATTTAAAAAGGTTTGTAAGTGACCCATTATCCTTGATTGAATACTTGGCTGAAAGCGTAACCACTGGACTAGGAGGTCAGTTGGATGGCCGCGTAACTTAAGTGTTATTATGAGCCAGACCAGTATGGAAGGTTCATGGATAATTCATAAGCAGTTAGAATGAGGGACTTTTGTCACTTAAGGGGATCCATGTTGTCTACCAAATATCTCCATAAAAGTTGATATCGTATATAAACTGATAATAATTTCGTATGCATTGATTTCTCATCACAAAAGAAATAAATGTCACAAAGTCTGAACATTTACTAGTGCATGTACACCTAGGTTCTCCATAAGCTTCCAGTCACAATACCAAGGTAGCATCAGGATCTGAATTGAATTCTGATATCACATGGATTTGTTTAAATAGTTATAAATCTGGCCAAAGTTAAGTCTTCTATGTCACCATTTTTATTATCCTACTTTTTGTCCTCATGGTGATGTTATCATGTTTTGTTCTAATTTACACATAACTTTCGTAGGTTAAAAATATGGCATTGGTGTTTTCACTGCATAACACTGTTGTTCATGTGACATAACACTGGTCATGTGACATAACACTGTTCATGTGACATAACACTGGTCATGTGACATAACACTGGTCATGTGACATAACACTGGCCATGTGACATAACACTGGTCATGTGATATAACACTGGTCATGTGATATTACACTGGCCATGTGACATAACACTGGCCATGTGTTATACATGGTTACACTAATCATATGATATAACACTGATCATGTGATATAATACTGGTCATGTGACATAACACTGGTCATGTGACATAACACTGGTCATGTGACATAATCTTGGTCATGTGACATAACACTTGCTATGGGTTATACATGGTAACACTAATGATCATGTGATATAACACTGATCATGTGATATAATTAATACTGGTCATGTGATATAACACTTACTATGGGTTATACATGGTAACACTAATGATCATGTGATATAATACTGGTCATGAGACATAACACTAGTCATGTGATATAACACTGGTCATGTGACATAGGACTGGTCATGTGACATAACACTAGTCATGTGATATAACACTGGTCATGTGACATAGAACTGGTCATGTGACATAACTCAATAGTCATGTGATGTACATGTGATTTGAAAGTCATGTGACAGGTTCATAAATATCATATGCATGTATATATACAGTAGTTTGCAGCAAAAACATTGTAAGTTTCATTTAAAAAATTTGAAGCAAATCTATTGATGTTTAATATGTTCTTTGTGATGCCAGAGGTATGTTGATTATGATAAACATTACTTTCATTTAATAATGCCACTGCATGTTAAAACATCAGAATGAGATAAAATATTTTAAAATCTGACATTTAATTTTGTCGTTTTAAGGCATTCAAAGATAACTTAACAGACAAAGATATGTGCAAATTTATTTTTTCTTATAAGAATGATATTACAATAAAAGTTGATGTCATACAGAGACTATGACGTCATATTTACCAGTAGTGTTGGTCTCCATAAGGGTGACTCACATTTCATGTGAAAGCATTAGAAGAACAACCAATCGTAACAAACTCAGTAATAAATTGTTCATAAACAATGTTAAAATTTACGCCTTTCTCAGTCAAGAGTCGAAAAGGTAGAGCTTTCCAGGGTTGTCAATCAAATTTAATTACAGGATATGAGGTTACCTGGAAGGACATCGGTCATTCCTAGTATCTATTCCTAGTGCACATGTATTATACATATGTGTACAGCTAGGTAGATTAGAACAATTAGGATAAAGCATTAAACTGTTCAGAATTAATTTTTATTACATGATTGTTGAGAGCAATATTGTATTTGATAATAAATCAAATATTTTGAAATTTAAAAAAAGATTGATAATTTTCTACTGACAGAATATCCAACTATTTGAAATTATCACATTTGGTTGTCTCCAAACTTGTCGAATGATTGTCATGTTAAAAGCAAATATTTATATAAGAAATGAAATTTTAAAATAATATGAAGCCACAGTATAATTTTACAAAAGATACAACTTATATACAAATACGTCTCGGTGAAAACCAGCCCACTAATATGTACACATACTTTTGAAAATATTTATAATTTGATAAAAAAAAATAATCATGTTAGCATTATGTATTTGTAAACGTCAATCTTGTGTGTAAAATTGGATTTTTTTTTACAAATTATATTGAAATCTCTGGACGGTAAGGATGAGTATTTTTAAATTGTGACAGACACGTAATACAATTATATTCACACAATCACACGAAAAAATAAAATCAAGTCAATCATATTTTACAAGTACCATAAACAAACTATAATGAGCGCACCTATATTCTCACACTCATCATGACTTAGCGCTACACACTCCAGTTTCACAAACTTTCCTTAATTCCTTAACTTAAAATTTTCTATAGGAAAAATTCCTTCACTTTAATTTCATTTCTTTTCTTTTTCTTCAATCCAAAAATATTTTTTATGATAAACTTCAGTCAAGGAATTTCTTTTAAGTTAGCATACATAATTAGTTAACTGGAGCATGCTATTTTTTTTATAGTTCAAATACACATACCCTATATTGTACTCAACATATATCTTCAGACTTTCATAGCAAAAATATAGAATCTTGATAACTCAATGTATTAGGCAATTAATACATTTTCTACCTGGTAAATGGTTTAAAAATGTATTAACTGGTGTTTATCCCATACATTTAAGTTTTATTCTCTGTATTTTACAAAACATATATATTCATAATTATGTAAAAAAAGGTTGTTTTTTTATACACTGAACTAGTCAGAACATCTAGTGCTTAATATGTCACTGGTCCATCAACATTTTCTTCCCCCAGATACATTTTCAGAATGTCTTTGTATACAGCTGGGTAGATTTCGGCAATGCTAATTTAATTCCTCTGGGACACAACAGCATGGCACCAATGATTGGATTTCACAAGTGTACAGGAAAAGTTTCAAAGAATTCTATGTCTGATAACTGGTTAAATCGGTATTCAAGTTCTGTGATGTTCAGTAAAGTCCCTGTAGAAACCCTATATACCCGGGTATATTTTAGGCTTTTAACCTCATACATTAGCTAACCAATATATCTTTTTGCATTTATTCACAAGCTCAAGTCGAAGGTGATGGAACTGATATACTTTTTGGCAAATGTTTGACCTGCTTCAAAGTGATCAATTTTGAAATGTTTGGGCCAAATTCAGGAAGTCATGATACATATAGATTCTAGTTTTGAAGCTATTTAAAATTATAAGGGTTCTGAAAATAGAGTATTTTTTGTGGAATTGTTATTTTATATAAAAAACGTCATTTGGACTGTTTGCCGTCGGTGATCGTACATTTTCTGGGATGGTAGTTATTTTCTTCGCTGGTGAATGACCATTACTGACCCCTTTAGGGTGGAGAACAGACGTTGATTTGTTCTTATGGCTGCGACTCGGATGGGCTCCAGTGTTGTACTCGTCACTGAATGTCATATTGTTAGAAATCGGAAAACACCTTTGACAACACATCTTTCTAAAGGCGATCTGATATTTGCTGTTGCCTATCGCGTACAAAAATGGATTCACGGTGGAGTTGGCATGGCTAAGCAAGATGGCTGCCAGGAGAAGTTCCATGGGATAAGAACAGTCCTTACACAGTAGTGTTATTGAGTTCAAGATGTGGATTGGCAGCCAACAAATCACAAAAACTCCGATCACAATAGCCAAGGATTTCGCTGCCTTCACTTCCTTCCTGAATTGTCGCTGTTTTTGACGTCCTTCAGATTCCTGCACGATTTCGAGGGCCGCGATTTTGGCCATATGTTTCCTGACAATGTAGAATATGTATGAATACAATACGAACATAATGAATAACGGTATTAACACAAATCCAAAGAAGTTGAAATACACCATATAGGCCATGTCAATAACGAACACAAAAGCACACACATTATTGACTGTGGGTCCGAGATTCCAGCCGAACACGGGTGTTAGTCCGATCAAAATGGCTGCCACCCATGTTAATGCCACAATGTAGAGAGCCACACGTACGGTCAGGTGGCGCTGGTAGAAAAACGGATAGTTAATGGCGATAAATCTCTCAACCGCCACGGCCACTAGATTGAAGATAGAAATTTGTGTAAACATTACAACTAGCGAGTTGATGAAAACGCATCCCATGAAATCTCGTGGCAGTCCCTGGTAACTCAGGGCCGCAAGCGGTGCCACCATTATTCCCACAAGTAAATCTGCAAAGGCAAGACTGGCTATAAAGCAGTTTGTGACAGTTTGAAGACTTGGGGTCAGCCTAATGGCCACCAGAACGAGGCCGTTTCCCGCCACGGCTGCCACACCGATGATAACCTCGAGGGAGATGTAAATTTGAGATGTCGTATCCATGGGGAAAAAATCTTGTCGGCAAAAGACGACCTATAATCTGTGAAATCCAATGTTTAGTTTATGCCTTCACAAGCCAGTTTAATCCAATGTTTCACCAGCAAAATCTGCCATTTAGCCAATGAATCCCAATTTCAAACACTAGAATCTAATGTTAAGTCAGTGGAATGAAACGTTTTTACAGTGGAATTTAATGTTTATTGATATCGAAATCTGATGTTTTGTCATGGAAACTTGATATTCAGCCATTGGAATCTGACATTAAATCTTGAGAAATCCACGAAGTACTTGGTCCAATCCGACTAAACTCTTGGTCAGCAAGACGTCTAGAAAAACCAACGTCAAGGATATTCTAATTTAACATTACGTGATCCACGTGGAAGTTGTCAGAACCAGAAGTTAATCCCGAGACAAATTGTCTAGTCTGATTTGATTAAGCTTGGTAGTGTTGTACAAACAGGTTTGTTGCTGTCACTTCCAACATTAAGACCGCAATTGTAGATTTTTTTATTTTATAATTGGAGATTTTTTTCATTTAGGTGGGGTTTTGATGTCATGGTAATGATTTTCATTGCAAGCTGTGCAGTAATTCTTCTTTTGATTCAGTCCTTTTAAATATCAAGCTGCTGTGTCGATTCAGTACAGTCCATTTCTTTGGGTAAATCTGTAATAGGAAAAAGAAAAATGCATCTGATGAGAATTTGAATGAAAGTTATTTGATTTCTTTTTAAAAGTAACACTTGTTTGTGTGATATTGGTTTAAACCAACACAGTCCATATTCATATTTATTACAGGTAAAGAAATCAAACAAAAATATCAAATGAAATATTTGATAAATAAATATTTTTGGTAAAAAATTGATTTCTCCTAAGGTTTCAAAACAATTCGTCCTCTTATAAGTTATAGCTGTAAAACAAAAATAGGTATGGAAAATGAAAATAATTAATTTTTACTGTTATGTTAAATTGTCACAGCTGGACTTGATAGCTGTTTAATGATTATATGGAAAATGTGACAACATGAAATTCCTTTCTGTTGTGTTTCAGAAATAAAAACTAGATATTAATCAACAATCACAGCTTGTGTTGAATTGGGAAATCATTGAACATTCATTGATACCGAACTGTTCCGATATTATCCTAAATACACTGGTATTAAGGTAAACAAACCAAATTCGTTTGTCGCGAAAATCTCGTTATAATTCATCACAGGTGTTTCCTGATGTTACCGATCACAAAGGATATCGGAGACAGCCTCCGTACCAGACAGCTCTTGGAGCTGACAGACCTACATATCGGCTAATTTTTGCCGTAGGTGTAGGATTAGAGCTATAGAACTTCATTGACTCAATTGAATTTAAACCTCTGTAGGACTAGTTCTGATTTGGATTATATTTGAAGCCGAGATGAATTATTTATGGTTTACGATAATACATGATCCATATTCAAGTATCACTACAGAAGCTTGGCGGAGAGATTTTCTATTGTACAAAATAATAAAATTAATTATCAAGGATCGACTGAGTGAGTTTAAAAATATCTTTGTGAATATCTCCTTGTCATTTTTTTTGTTATGCAAAACCTATCCCAGAAGGCATCATTTAAAAAATTTCATGATTTCTGGCTATTTTGCATGTGGATTATAAACTGTCTACCCGAAATATTTATATAAGTTTCGCCTTTTTTGTCTGCTCTTATATATGAGGTATATTAGGTCAAGTTATGATGTTGGCACATTTTGACTATACACAGTGTTTGAATTACCTTTGAAAGGGGAAATTGGCATACTGTGAAATGACTAATTTTTGTGGGTCTTTTAATTTCAATGATTTCATGGGTAATCTATATTCACGAATTAAAAGGTCCACAAAGTATTTACAAGTTTGATATAAAGCAATTCTCCGTTTGAGTGGGTACTCGTAATCCAGTAGAGTCACCGTATAAACTATTGATATATGGACATTATGTATCAATGTATTGGTTGCCACCTTTAATAAGCTGACACAATGGTTCCTGATTAGTCAAAAATTGATTATCGTAGGGTTGTTATTGAAAATAAAATATTTGTAAAAAAGGAATTTCGTAAAAGAATACTTGCCAACTTGTTTAAATTTCCCTAGGGGAGATTGTGCATGCTCAAAATTAAAACATGAATAAGATGTGTGTAAACACCCACAAGAGACAAAATAACCCTTCAAAATTACATATTTTGAGTAGTTCTTTCAAATAAAACCATTAGATCTTAGAATATAGGAACAGTTAAGCAAATTCATTGGTTGAAAACACTAAGTTTAAGGGTCCAAAATCGGGAGTCTCCCTCCTAAATAAGGGGGGTGGCAAGTATGTGAAAAGCTTTTGAGTCGAGTACTGGAGTTTAATTATTTTTCTGTTCTACCTAAAAAGGGACATGGATCGCTTATGTTATAAAAGAATGTTATGTTTGTAAAACTCTAGCAATGCAGACAAAAATAGGTTTAACAGCCTTGTTGTTGACACACTTCATGTATTTACTATTGTGATTGGGTTTGTTTAAATATTGAAGGAAGCCTACGAATGTTTCACTGATTAGAGGGAAGGGATGGTTTGATTTTATGATAGAACTATCGACAGGTTGATGAATCTACAGATAGAGTTAATGTATACAGGAGAGGCTTAGCAAACCTTCACCTTACTCAGACATGTATGTAGCAAGGCCAAGCAGAATGTTCAGATTACACTGGTTTTCACATTACTCAGACATGTATGTAGCAAGGCCAAGCAGAATGTTCAGATAACACAGGTTTTCACATTACTCAGACATGTATGTAGCAAGGCCAAGCAGAATGTTCAGATAACACAGGTTTTCACATAACTCAGATATGTATGTAGCAAGGCCAAGCAGAATGTTCCGATTACACAGGCTTTCACATTACTCAGACATGTATGTAGCAAGGCCAAGCAGAATGTTCAGATAACACAGGTTTTCACCTTACTCAGACATGTATATAGCAAGGCCAAGCAGAATGTTCAGATTAAACAGGTTTTCAGGTTACTTTAAATGTATACAGTGAGACTTATGAAAATGTATGGCTTAAACAGGTGTTCACGTTACTCAGACATGTATGTAGGAAGGCCAAGCAGAATGTTCAGATTAAACAGGTTTTCAGGTTACTTTAAATGTATACAGTGAGACCAATGAAATTGTATGGATTACACAGGTTTTCACATTAGTCCGTTCACACCCTCAGGTTACAACTGTAATTGCCTCCATTGTTTTTGAGTTAACATGGGTTGCAAACCTGACTTTTTGAAATATTTCCACTTAATAGAACATGTAGCTGTGATACCTAATGTTGCTAAAATTAAAAGAAATGAAGTTGTGTCAGTGATTTAAAAAAACCCACCTATTACTTCAAAACTGCGATTTTATCGGCGAATGCCTTCTAAACATTCACGTGATCTTTCCCCGAATCATGACCTCTTATATCTGTTGCGATGGTTTATCAGGTCAGTTTTGTAAGTCATTGGAATAATATCGAGTCTTTAATTTCCTGTCGTCGAGGAGCCCAGACAAAAGCTGTGATTTATGGCAGTGTTTTTTCTAGTTATAGAGAATTTATGAGTATAACGAGTTCCGCTAGCTTCTGAGTTGCAGAGTGTTTGGTTTTGTGATTTTTAATGACTTATACATCATATCGGCATAGAGAAAAGGAAACAACCAGCAGAGTTACTGATACAGTATATAAATGGGGCGTTAAAATGATAAATATAACCATGATGCAGAATGTGACTTTTTTGACCATGCACTAAATAACCAAAAGATGGAAAAGTCAGAAAGGAGATAGGTACAGTAGTAGGTGTAACATTATATACTACGTAACATAACCATGGATAAGAAGTCTGCCGGGGTTTGGAAGCCACAGCGTCGGGGAGCCCCGGGGTTATGAAGCCCCAGGGTCGGGGATCCGAGGGGTTTGGAATCCCTAGGGTCGGGGAGCCCCAGGGTTAGGAAGCCCCAGGGTCGGGGAGCCCCGGGGTTTGGAAGCCCCAGGGTCAGGGAGCCCCGGGGTTTGGAAGCCCTAGGGTTTGGAAGCCCCAGGGTTTGGGAGCCCTAGGGTCGAGGAGCCCCGGGGTTAGGAAGCCCCAGGGGCGGGGAGTGTTTTATGTCCGATTAACAGAGCTCTATGGTCATTTAGGGTCATGCTAGGTTTTGGATTTTTAGTGGTTTGGAAGCCACAGCGTCCGGGAGCCCCGGGGTTATGAAGCCCCAGGGTCGGGGAGCCCCAGGGTTTGGAAGCCCCAGGGTCGGGGATCCGAGGGGTTTGGAATCCCTAGGGTCGGGGAGCCCCAGGGTTAGGAAGCCCCAGGGTCGGGGAGCCCCGGGGTTTGGAAGCCCCAGGGTCGGGGAGCCCCGTGGTCGGGGACCCCCGGGGTTTGGAAGCCCTAGGGTTTGGAAGCCCCAGGGTTTGGGAGCCCTAGGGTCGAGGAGCCCCGGGGTTAGGAAGCCCCAGGGGCGGGGAGTGTTTTATGTCCGATTAACAGAGCTCTATGGTCATTTAGGGTCATGCTAGGTTTTGGAAGTGGAGGAAAGCCGGAGGTGCTGGGGAAAAACCAACGACCTATGGCCATTACCTGGCAGCTTCCCCACTGGTCTCGAACCCGCGACCCAGTGGTTGAGGGTTAGTGGTAGCAGAATGTCAAACGCCTTAATCACTTGGCCACCGCGGCCCCTCATGCAAGAGGACTCTAACAACTGTTTAATTATATAAGCTTATAATGTTTTTAACTATCTATATTATTTTTACTTAAATGCTTTTTATTCGGTTTACAGGACTATGAATTATAAATGTTGACAAAAACAATTTTTTTAATGTTATTTTTTGGCAAATTTTAAATAAAGTGTAACTTAAATACATGTCTTTATGTATCTAACACTATAGACGAACCTCTCAAATATCTAAATTACCCAATGTTAAACAAATTAACATTTGTGTTAATTTAGGTACTTAACAAAATTATCTAGAGTATCTAAATTAATACAAATGCAAATTATTCACGCATATATGAATAATTTATAAGATTTTTAAGATAAATAGATTTGATATTTTTGGTTTAACAGCTAGAAATTACAATTGATGCAATAAGAAAATGGACCAATAAACATTACCTCAGTTAGCGTGACAAACTCCTGTTGATTTCTGCTCCGCTTATATCATTGATTTGTCCTTAATGAAATAGGTGTAGAGCTGGTGAGAGTTAGTCGAGAATTGTGTAAACTTGTTGATGTGTTGTAAGATCCCGAGCACAACATGTCAGCATGTCATTGAGGTCTCCTGACCTGAGGACTTGTCGGGTCATTACATACCTAGGTATATACTTACCTGTCAATCAAATCTCCGCTCCAATCCCAGCACACCGTACTGGGGCTGCCACCAGGCCTACAGAGAACTCACAAGCTTATAACATCAGCCTGGAACTACAGACAGCTGGTTCACTTGCGAGTCCCCTGTATCCAC